GTGACAACACACAAGCCATGTCTCTGATATGTACATCTTCCTTATACAAATATATTTCAACAGAAAGTTCTTGAAGGGTGGGAGGAGAGACCTCACAGAAGCTTGCTCCCGTGAAGCTAGCACCTATGTGGCCCTCGGCAGGGCCACAGAGACAGGCAAGCAGGTCCCTGTGCCGAGATGTGCAGCAGGGAACACGGGACACGGAGCATGATGCCAGGAGGAAGCTGTGCCCGCCTGCCCTCCTGGGTGCCTGCCCACCTGGGTGCCTGCCCCACCACTCCTGCCGCTTCACTCAGGTCTGGTGGGAGCACCAGCTTCTCAGCCTGGGATGCTGGCCCAGGGGAGCATCACATCCCCAGCTACCCTGAAGCAAATGAGAAAATATAGAGATAGGAATGGTGCTTGTGATGCTGTCACTGGGATATGCAAATAAAATATATAGGATGGGCCTATCTGCCTAATATTCCTGCCAATTCATTCTCTGGGTGTGATTAAAATGAGCAATAAATTCCTCGTGAGTCTCAGTGGAGTGAGGAGCGGGAAAGGAGCTGCGGCTGGCATGCGCGCATCCCCCTCAGCTGAATATTCATCATAGGATAGCTCCCCATATTTTTGTTTTATCTGCCATCATGTACACAGAGATATATTTCTACCTCTCTTTCATCTCTTAGTTAGGACATGAAAATGGTCTAGGCGTTAAGTATTAAACTCTCCATGTACTGAAATCATTCAAAGTGAGATCTAGACTAACCTCTTCTGTAAACCTGCCCTGCCCATTCTGCCAGGAGGTGAACAAGCCATATTTTCCTAGAGCCACCTCCACAACCTTGTACACCCCTCCTGAGACACCTGCCAGTTCTTTTGATAATGGAGCAAAGAATGCCTGTCTCTCCCACAGTAGGACAGCAGGCTAGAGCCAGTGGCTGGGTCTCTCCCACTGTGGATCTCCCCAGGGGGTGAAAGCTTAGGCCTGGGGACTGCTGAAAGACCCAGAGAACCTGAGAGCTCACTGCAAGAAAATCATCTGGTCCAGTTAAGGTGACAGAGATTCTGAGAGGCAGTGACATATTTTAAAAGGAGGAATAAAGTGAAAAATTAGGATTACAGATAATTTTAAATATGCAGAAATCACTAATAGTAAGGGGGAAGGAGAGATTTCAGATTCACCTTCTGGGCCAAGCAGGTAACACAAAACACCTGACAGATGAGGACATAACACAGCAGGGACATGGTGGCAGAGTCTATCTCCCAGTCCCTCCCTGTCACTGTCCCATTTGCCATCTGGCAATAGATGAAGAAAATCCAACGCTGCAAAAGTCCTGTGTCTTTAAATTCACATTTTTGGGGAATTCCGGGTTGGCATATAAAATATAGTTGCCAGTAGGTTTAGGCAAAAAGGCCACCTACGTAAAGAGATGTGGATATGGTCTCAAAAGAGTTCATACAGTACCACTGAGGCACATCTCTTTAAAATCCAACAGACAACTTGATTTTGTGTGTCACTTCCTTCTTTCTTGCCTGTTCAGTTTTCCCATCTGTGAGATGGGAGCATTAATTAAGAGCAGCTGCACAGGGTTGTTACAGAAATAGAGAAAGTGTATGTTAAGCACGCAGCACAGTCCTAGAGGCACTCAGTAACTGTTAGGAGTAACAATGTGAGTAGCATTATACATGGACAGCAGGCAGGATATTTTTACTTGCGATTGACCTCTCTTCCAGGAACCTTTTTTGACTAGTCCTCCACTGACTTATTCGCCTGTCTGCCTGTCAGACTCTGAACTCCTGGAGTGACTTACTTGTTTTCTGCTATCTAGCCCACAGTTCAGCACAGAGCTGGAATCCATGACAGTTAAAGAACCTTAAATTCTCTTCATCTTATTTCCAAATCTTCCATAATCAGACAGATGATGCTAACACTCACAATTTTCCATAACGAGTATAATTTGACTAAAGAATGGTAGGTCAAGGTAGAAGAGGCTTGGTTGGGTACTGGTGGGGTGCAGTGTAGAGAAACAGAAGGGGAGCAAGGTAAGATCAGAGAAGCAGTAACTCACACTGTGCTGGATAGTTTTGTGTCAATTTGACACAGGCTGGGGTCATCTGAGAGGAAGGAACCTCAATTAAGAAACTGCTTCCAGCTGGGTGGTGGTGGCGCACGCCTTTAATCCCAGCACTCGGGAGGCAGAGCCAGGTGGATCGCTGTGAGTTCGAGGCCAGCCTGGACTACCAAGTGAGTTCCAGGAAAGGCGCAAAGCTACACAGAGAAACCCTGTCTCGAAAAACCAAAAAAAAAAAAAAAGAAAGAAAGAAACTGCTTCCATAAGATTGGGCTCTGTACTGGGTGGTGGTGGCACACACCTTTAATCTCAGCACTTAGAGGGGGCAGAGGCAGGCGGATCTCTGAGTTCTAGGTGAGCCTGGTCTACAGAGTAAGCTCGAAGATAGCCAGGGCTATAGAGAAACCCTGACTTGAAAAACCAAAAAAAAAAAAAAAAAAAAAAAAAAAAGATTGGGCTGTAGGTTAGCATGTAAGGCATTTTCTTAATTAGTGATTGATAGAAGAGGGCCCAGCCTATTGTGGATGGTGCCATACTTGGGCTGGTGGTACTGGATTCTATAAGAAAACAGGCTGAGCCAGCCATGAGGAGCAAGCCAGTAAGCAGCACCCCTCCATGGCCTCTGCATCAACTCCTGCCTCCAGGTTCCTGCCCTGCTTGAGTTCCTGCCCTGACTGCTTTGGATGACGAGCTGTGTTGGGGAACTGGGAGGGAAATGAGCCCTTTCTTCCTCACACAGGTTTTGGTCATGGTGTTTGTTTCGTCACAGCAATAGACACAGACCTAGACACAACCAGGAGGGCAGGTCTGAGGCTAGGACCCCAGCACCCTCCAAGTCTGAGTCACTGCTATAGATAGCAGGGCCTGAACTCTGTAGGGGCAGCTACAGCTTACTGCCTGGCAGAGAGAGATGGAGCTCAGGGCAAAAACATAGCTTCTCCCACAAAAATCTGCCTCAAAGAGCTAGCTTGTGCAGTTTGGCGAAAACAAGCAGAGGAGAAAGGAGAGCAGGGAGAGACGGAACAACCAACCCAAAGACAATGTAGACGGCAGAAGAGGAGGGAGATGCTGAGGGCACCTCGTCCTAGGCTAACACTGTGGCCAGCACCCTCAGGGGACCATATTTTGTTAAGTGGCCTTCAGTAGCTCTAACAACCTGTGCCGACACTAAGATGCTTGTTCACTTTGAAAGAAACCTTGGCACGACCAGCACCAGCCCTATGTCGTACCATTTGACACAGCACAGACGTGTTCTTGGCCAAGTCTAAAGAGGAGCTGAGGGGATACACTTCCCGAGGCTATCTGGAAGCAGCAGTGTTGAGAAAATAACATTAGGCTGGAGATGTCTCCTACTGAGATTGTGTGCAGGGGAAGGGTGGAGGACTGACGAAGGGGAAGGATGTAGGAGGCTGTAGGGGATGTGAGGCCTGAGGAACTCTTTCCCCCCCCCCCCCCCCCAGAAACAGGGTTTCTCTGTGTAACAGCCCTGGCTGTCCTGGAATTTGCTTTGTAGACCAGGCTGGCCTTGAACTCACAGAGATCCACCTGCCTTTGTCTCTCAAGTACTTGGGAGTAAAGGTGTGTATCACCACTACCTGGCTAAGAACTAATAATTTGCTCAAGACTTCATTTGGCTTCTGCTAAAAAGCAGCTGGGAGGCTGTCACCTTAAATAAACGTGACTGGAAGGCTGGACCAAACAGACGCCACACCGTCTGCAGAAGGAACAACTGCATTTACGTGTCAGTCTGGGAAACACTCACAGGTGAGGGCGGTCCGCACCCCTCCCCCTCCAGACCTTGGCCTGCACAGTCCACCTGGTAGCGGCACACGGATCTATTGGCATCTAAGACTCAAGACCGTATGGTCCCCATTCAGCTTCACAATCTATTTTCTTTAATTTTCAGGCCCCTCTGTGTGTCAGGCAAGTGCTCTGAAGAACTGGGCTACCCCAGCCCTGCAGTTTGTAATTTAAGAAAATAATTGTTTTGTGAAGAAGTAAACCTTTGGAATGTTTACTGGAGTTTAGGCATATCACTTTTTGTTTTCATTGTTGTTGTTTTGAGACCCAATCTCTCTATGTTGTCCTGCTGTAAATCTCTATGTAGACCAGGCTGGCCTTGAAACTCAGAGGTCTGACTCTGCCTCCCAAGTGCTAGAAATAAAGGTGGATGCCACAAAAAGAAAAAAAAAAGATAAATGCGTATCAACCATAAAAAAAAAAGTGACTGTTAATTCTTAGAAGCCACAAATGTCTTGGTCCTCTCCCTCTCCATGTTCATGACAGGAAAGCTCCCTATTCTTGGTACAACCAGAGCTGGATGTGAATTTAAGTAGACAATCATCATCAAGGGTTGGCTTAGTGATGCACGTCTGCAATCCCAGCACTTGGGATTATCTTAAGGCACTTCAGCCAGTCTGCAGACAAAAGATCCCCTATGCTAGAAAGAGAACAAGACAAGGGTCAGAAAGCCAGGTATTCTGAGCTCATTCCTGCACGGACCCTACTAGATATCCTCGTGGTCAATTGCATGTGCTTCAGTTGATAACTTACTCTGGGAGTGCCAGCCTTGGCTATGTAGTAAGACCAGTTGCCAGAAAATAAAAGATCACCTAAGAAGTGCTTTTGGTGTCGCACCTGAAGTAATTGAAAAAGTGGAAGGTTATGGGCTAGAGAGATGGCTCAGCAGGTAAGAGCTTTGGCTGTTATTTCAGAGGACCTGGGTTCCATTCCTAGTACCCATGTGGTCACTAACAACTGTCTGAATTCTGGTCCAGGGGATCTAATGCCCTCTTCTTGCCTCTTCTGGGCACTGCATGCACATGGTACATATATATACACACACACACAGGTAAAACACTCCCCTGCCCGCATCCCCCCCCCTGCAAAAAAGTGGAAAGTTAAATGATGCAGGGGTACCTACAGCCTCCTCTCACTACTCACTTTGGTCTCGGAGGTTTTCAGAAGCTTCATAACCTCCCCTTCCCGGGCATAATCCAAGGGTGTGTGTCCCATCTCATTCCTCTGAAGGGGGTTGGCTCCTGGCAGGAAAAAAAGGATAAATGGTCAGAGCTATACAAATGATTAGCAGGTCCTCAGTATTTACAGGTAGCTTAGGAGCCTCAATTTCAGTATGAATCCCCATGGAAACTTACGAGATTACAGAATGACACGAAAACATATTAAGTTAATATTATCTTATTTTTCTCATTTGAGACAGAGTTTCCTTATGTAGCCCTGGCATTTGCCTCAAACTCAAAGCAAGCCTCCCATCTCAGCCTCCTAAATGGAGGGATTACAGGTGTGACTCACCACACCCAGCTCTTCTCTTTTCTGCCAGCCAGAGTCAGCCAAGTCCTCTGGACCGTGGCTCTGTCTTGGTAGCTGATGAGAGTGTGTATGTTCTGATGACTGGAGGACAAAGGTTAGCCAAGAGCCACATGACTTCCTTCTAAGTGCTGGCACAGAGCAGCCAGTATATGGCATGTACTTAGCAAGGCTTTAAATGACAAGACTCCTCTCACTCTCCGTGCTGGCCGACTCTTCTTCCACAGCCCAGCTCTGGGCAACTCTCTTCCCGACTCTAACCAATGCCAGCTATCTTGCTTCTGTTTTTGTTTTTCGAGACAGGATTTCTCTGTGTAACAGCCCTGTATAACAGTAAGACTGTCCAGAGGCCAGCCTGGCTCTGCCTCCAAAGTGCTGGGATTAAAGGTGTGTGCCACTGCCTCCTGGCATGCCCCCTCTTATTTTAAACAGTGCTGGGAATAGGGTATCACACATGTGATGTGCTCTAACACTGAGCTACCATAGGCCCCTAAAATGCTGGTGTCTGGTACATGAAGAGGCCAGGAGAGGGTGTCTGGTCTTCTGCAACTGGTGTTATGAGCCACTATGTGGATGCTAGGAATAAACCCAGGTACTCCAGAAGAACAGCCAATTCTCCTAACTGCTGAGCCATCTCTCTGGCCACAAACCTACTGTGTTAAAGTGTAGCATTTGGTGTTTAATCTTAGGTTGCAACCATCACTACTATCTAATTTACCCCTCTCCAGGAAGAAACCCCATACCCACTACAAAACAACAAAACCAAACAAAAAACCCCCACAAAGGTTGACTGCCTCTTTTTATGGGTATTTCATATAGCTGGAATTGCACGACATGTGGCCATCACCGTGTGGCTTCTTTCATAGCACATGTTCTCAAGGTTCCTTCATGTGGTAGCACGGCTGAATAATTTTCTGTTCTGTGACATCACATTTTCTTATCTACTAGCTGGACATATGAGCTATTTCCCCCTTTTGTCTGCTCAGAACATTCACAAATTGTTCAAGTCTCCATTTGTTGTTGCCTTTGTTTTCCTGAGGGAGGAGTGTCTTACTATATAGCTCAAGCAGATCTTGAACTCAAGATTTAGTTTCCTGGGTGCTTTACAGGAGTGGGGCACCAAGTAGCCACCCCATTCGCTCTCTCTCAAACTGGCCTTGATACGTAGGCTCAACCATTCCTCCTGCTTCAGACTCCCGAGTACTGGAACTAGCTGTGTACACCACCCTGCCAAACTCTGTACGTTTCCTGTCTTTTCAGTAGATGCCCTGGGGTGACAGTAACAACAGTCTACTGATCACTGTATTCATGCTTGACTCTGCACTTATTATGTGGGTTTTTTTTTCTTTTCATTTAATGTTTGAAACCTTGAGGAATTAAAATCACCAAGACACAGACATGGAAACTGGACTCAAGTACAACCATTAGCCACAGGCCTACTGTTGTTGGAGAATATTATTTTAAGGTGTGTTACTTTTTTTTTTTTTTTTTTGGTTTTTCGAGACAGGGTCTCTCTGTGTAGCTTTGCGCCTTTCCTGGAACTCACTTGGTAGTCCAGGCTGGCCTTGAACTCACAGAGATCTGCCTGGCTCTGCCTCCCGAGTGCTGGGATTAAAGGCGTGTGCCACCACCGCCCGGCACTTTTGTTTAACTCTGTGAAGCTGTGTTACTGTGCTTGTCTAAGACACCTGATGGTCTAATAAAGAGCTGAACTGCCAATGTCGAGGAGGAGAAAGGACAAGTGGGGCTGGCAGGCAGAGAAAATATATGGAAGGAGAAATCTGGGAGGAGAGAGATCAAGAAATGAGAGAAGAAGGAGGAGGACATCAGGGGACAGCCACTCAGCTACACAACCAGCAACGGAGTAAGAAAGGAAGGTATACAAAAATAGAGAAAGGTAAAAGCCCAAAGGCAAAAGCTAGACTGGATAATTTTTTTTTTTGAGTTCATTTTTTTTTTTTATTTTGTAATACAATTCAGTTCTACATATCAGCCATGGATTCCCTTGTTCTCCCCCCTCCCACCCTCCTCCCCTTACCTCCAGCCCACCCCCCATTCCCACCTCCTCCAGGGCAAAGCCTCCCCCGCGGACTGAGATCAACCTGGTAGACTCAGTCCAGGCAGGTCCAGTCCCCTCCTCCCAGGCCAAGCCAAGCGACCCTGCATAGGCCCCAGGTTTCAAACAGCCAACTCATGCAATGAGCACAGGACCCGGTCCCACTGCCTGGATGCCTCCCAAACAGATCAAGCCAATCAACTGTCTCACCCATTCAGAGGGCCTGATCCAGTTGGGGACCCCTCAGCCATTGGTTCATAGTTCATGTGTTTCCATTCATTTGGCTATTTGTCCCTATGCTTTATCCAACCTTGGTCTCAATAATTCTCGCTCATATAAACCCTCCTCTTTCTCGCTAATTGGATTCCCAGAGCTCCACCCAGGGTCTAGCCATGGATCTCTGCATTCAGATCCCTCAGTCTTTGCATGGGGTTTCTAGCATGACAATTAGGGTGTTTGGCCATCCCATCACCAGAGTAGTAGACTGGATAATTTAAGTAAAGCTGGCTAGCAACAAGTCAAGCTAAGGCTGGACATTTATAAGTAAGAATAAGCCTCTGTGTGTGATTTATTTGGGAGCTGGGTGGCGGCCCCCCCCCCAAAAGAGTAAAGAGTAAAAAACAAACAACAACATACTGTTCTGAGCCAGGAGTCCACCCTAGCCCTAGGTTTCCCTAACTCCAATGCTCCACACCCTCTGCAGAGTGGCAATGATACCCTACTGCTGAAATCCCTCCAGTGCTCCTTCACCGTCCACAGCACTAAGTATGGCCTCCGTAGGGAGGGGGGTGTCCAGCGAGGAGGGATCTTCCTACCTCCAGTAAGGTTCATATCTCCCCCATAGCCTGGCTGAACAGAGTGTGTGTTTATCAGCACTACTAAGTTTCTAGTCTTTTAAGAACTCAGAGGCTCACCCAGAGCCTCATTCTTTCTTTAAGATCAGTTGGCACTTTCTGGGCACTGCACACCAGCGGCTCTGTGTGCAGGATGGGGACTGGCAGGGCTAATGAGCAGTTTCTTCTTTATATACTTTTTTTTCCTTCAAGATTTACTTTAATTGTATGTGTGTGTGTGCAGGTGCCGACAGAGGTCAGAGGCATAGGAGCTGGAGTTATGAATGTTGTGAGCTGCCTGATGTGTCTACTGGAATTGAAAGCAGCACTCTTAACCCATGACTTCTCTTCAGCCCCTCCCCCCATACTTATTTTGTTTTTGGTTTTAGGGAGGAGCTGGCCTTAAGCTCACTATATAGCCCACTCAATCCTTGAACTTGACGAGCTCCCCTGCCTGGTTATCCTGAGTGCTGGGAATCTGTTTTTTTTTTAAATCCCTCCTTACTGTTCTGTGGTAACTGGTAATCTGTCTATTGACTCCTTTGAGTTTTTTAAGGCCTCTTCAAATACTGCCCTCAATCCTGTGATCAGTCTTTCTGTCTCTTTTGCAGACGTCTTTTCCTGTTTTTAGGGACAGGTGTCCTCTGAGCTTGAGTCTAGTACAAACTAAGCTCTCCAAGAGCTTATGGGGACATGATGAGCTCACGACAGTAACACAGGCGAGGTTGGCCACTGTGCTGGAGGACAGGCGGATAGACAAGAACCACAGAGTTCAAGAAGGATCAGAGCATTTGGGGTTTATTCTCTTGGCATGGCTCTGCTTTCTGGGTGCTGGGTACTGGGGTCCCAGGAGCCAGTGTCAGGCATCCTCCTGCTCATTCCCATGGCACAGCTGGGCCTGGGGCCTCAAAGGAGTAATGGAGAGACCTCTCCTTTCTCTGACCAGGAGGGGCGTCTTGCCATTAGGTAGGTGCTCTGTGGAGTGGGGTTAGCTCTCCAGAGGAAGAGGAACTAGAAAGGGAGGAGGAATGGCACAGGGGAGGAGGAGAGAAGGTGAGAGAAGGCGGCGGTGGAAGAAAGGAGGAGGGTGAGATCAGCCGCCTCAGACAAGCCTGGCTGTCAGTGATCTATATTTGCTTACAGAATGAAAAATGTGTGCCACAAACATCGGCCACCGAGTAATCTCTAGCAAGAGTCGTGTCACTTCTCATAAAGCATGGGGTGGGGACAGTAGGACCTCTCTGCACCTGGGCCAGTCAGCACACTTTCTCTTACAGCAGCGCTGGGCCTCGGCTCCAGTCCAGAAGACTCTCAGGGCAGGCTACTCGCCAGGGGAAACCAGCCGGGTTCTCCAAGGTTCTGGAGCCTCAGGGCAGCACATCTGCCCACTTTAGGAAGGCTGAGGCGGGGGCACCTGGATAATGTCCATCCAATATTACTCCCCCAGACTCACACCCTCCCTCTGACTTGACTAATTGCTCTAATAATTGATAGAACCTGACTTCTACCACTGATCGATTTCACCTTCACGACCAACGGCCACAAACCATTACACTCCAATAAATAACCACGCTGGGCCTCACCCGGTTGCCCTCTCCGGGGGCATCAGGATGGCCCGTGCCCTGGCCTGACCTCCCCTTGCCTCCCACCCAGGGCCCCTCCAGGCCAAGCAGCTGGCCTAGAGGGCCAGGCCTCTGGGAGCAAGTGAGAGGGCTGGAAGGAGGTGGGAGCACTAATCGCAGGCCATCCGTCACCTCCCACTGGCTGTCTGGGGCTGGGGCGAACACCTGGAGCACCCTAGGCAGTGTGGTGCAGGACCCCTCCT